ATTAGTTCAATAGACGGAGATGGACTGTCATGACCCAAACCTGCCCCTATAGGTTTAGCATCGTAACCGGCCAGTAATCTGTGATTACTAAAGGCCTACTTAACAATAACTACAATATTACAATACAAAGGGGTTGGCAGAAGCCAATCAATAATAAGAGAATGTCCAATGAGTTGTGAGGACCTGAATGAAAATAAACTTTCATATATAAGCCATAACCATAACCATTCATGTCCATAAAAACATACAAATTCAAGGCAAAATACAAGTTAGGAAATTAATCCAATCATCAAAAATAGCATTGACAATAGTCTTAAAACATTTTCATCACTTAACATACTCAAAAAAATGGGGAATTTGAACCATCCAAAAAGCCTCGACACATGCTAGTTCGAAACCTCGCAATGAGGCATAATAGCTGACTTGACAAAACAAAGGGTTCGGGTCAATGCCTCTAGCTTTGATCCGATGCCTAGCCACTTACATATATATAATAAACTGTGAGCTAAAACTCAGTGAATAACAGATGTGTAAAGAGGTTAAGAATGATGTCTTTTAGTCTTTGAAACAATCGATTATCATTAGAATATTTTCAATCAATATCATTTGTCAATCAATCGTTCGATTCAATCAATTCAATCAATCAATAGTTATATTGGTCATACGTAGTACATCCAATAGCAACAACACAATAGGTTTTATAAAGACCGAACAATCAATTGATGGTCATCAAACAATAACAATAGTTTTAAGATTTGGAATTGACAGAGATCTTTATAATAATAGGGATATCGATATCAATAACAATAACAATACGCTATGGATGCCACGAATACAATTCAAAAGAGGAGATCATCATTCAATCGATAAAAGTAACCGTTTAGAAACGATATAATTTATCATTCAAAAAATAAATACACTTGGAACATATCTTTACAACATCGTTACTCACAGTGGGTTTCTCGATACACATACTATTGGTTCGACGTCCGACCTAAACAAATAAAGTCAACCATAACAATTCAATAACATTCATATCGCTAGCCAATTCTATTTGATTCGATTGTTACTTGTTCAATAACAAATCATCTTTACTAATTCGGCTTTATTTTTTCATTCATTCGATCTAATTCAATCTAGTTCAATCTAATGCACTCGTGAGATGCAAATAATCATGAAAACACTTCAAAACCATGTAAACGGAGGCCTGGAATATGGAAAAGAGAAGCGAAAAACAAAACCCGGATAACCCAAATTGCCGCACGTACGGGGATATTTGCTGCACATATGGGGCCACCTCCGTACTTGCCTCCAGCACCTGCAATTTAAGCAGAATGCTACTCAAATTTGCCTTGTTTCCCGCATGCACGGGGCCCCAGGCCACACGTGCAGCAGTTCTACCCAAAAACAGTCCAAAAATTGCTCCGTTTCGGCACTTCATCTTCACTTTATTTTGGTCTCAATATCAAATGTTTCAAGCCATAAATTTATACCAACAACCTTTAATTTAGACCCTTAACAGAAAAGGGAGATCAAACTAGAGATTGACACTTGAAATCAACTCCCAAAGTTACAATTTGCAAAGCTTAAATTTCAATTAAATTACAAAACAAACTCATGAAGAACTCATTTGAGTTCATGAGGTTCATGCATGAAATTATTTGTAACTACGAGAAACAACAAGGATATGAAGAATTCATTTAAGAGTTAATTTGCTCATTCTTTTCATTTAAAGCCATGCATGTAACAACCTTCTAATTACACTAACTAATCTTTCTAATAACCTTATCACTGTGTTTGGATTGAGTGATTTGGAGAGAAAAGAAAAGAAATAGAGAGAAATGTATTTATCTTCCTTGTTTGGTTATCTTAAGTGGAGAGAAATGGGAAGAAATAAAGAGAAATTGAGAGAAACTCAATTTTCTCATAACCTTTATTTTCAATCTTCTCAAAAGTGGAGAGATTGGGAGAGAAAAGAAGTCCACAAATGTTTATATTTTGATAATACCAATTTTACCCCTATAAAAATAAAAGAAATAAAATGATTGAAAATATAAAAAGGTTATTTTGGTAATATAACATAAAATAATTTCTTTTCTTTTCTCTTAATGAAATCTAACCAAACAAGAAGGAGAGAAATCACAATCATTTCTTTTCTTTTATTTCTTACGTATCCAAACAAAAAGGAGAGAAATTACAATCATTTATTTTCTCTTATTACTTAAGTAATCATTTCTTTTCTTTTCTCTCCTAAATTACCAAACATAGCGTATATTTTTCCTTGGTAATTTTTGAATTCCATAGTCATGAGCAAGATTCTTCAGATGCATGGAATTAGAGAGGAGAAATCTTATCTAGAGTGAGTGATTTATGGACAGGTGTAATTGCAATGACTTGCATAAGTTTCTTTTTTTTCTCTAATTTTTCTCCCGTTGAATTCTTACTCTCCAAGACTCTCCCCCTCTCTCTCTCTCTCTCTCTCTCTCTCTACGTGTATGTGTTGTACGAAACCCAACAAGACCCACTAACCTCTCGCTTTTTTCTATTCAGTTTATGGCATCACACTAGTTCTTTTGATTATACACATTTTAGACTTTAATTAAAAAGGTTAGTAAATTACATTAACTAATTGGAATTAAATTCACTCAAATTAATTTAATCATCATCTTTATAATTTTAATTACACCAAATTAAATTATACTAAGGTAAATTAGGCTCTAATTCCTATTCAATTATTTAATTTTAATTTGTTAAAATTAACGAATCAGATAGATTTAATATTCACTTTAACCTATCTGTTCACAATAACACAACGTAAACACTCACATGGTATAACAATAACACTTCATCACATATAATCATATAATTAGTAAGCACATAATCAACTTAATTAACTAGCTTAATTAGGAAGGCGGTTGTCACATGGACATAGGGTATAAATTGTGACACAGAATAAAATTCAGAGTTTAAATTGATGGAATTGAAACCCTAGGGTTAAATTTTAAAAATACACGAAACCTTAGGTTTTTTTTTTTTTTTTTGGTAATTTGCCGTAATTTGCCCAAAATAATTTTTGAACTCTTTTTTTTTTATATCAAATTTAAATTTGATGAGACTCTTTTTTTTTTTTTTTTCGTCAAATGAGTGCAAATTTAATTAGAAACACTACTTATTTTTGAGTAATATTAGGAATAACAAATAAATTACCAAATATTATACACAATATGAGGTAAAAAGAAAAAAGAAATGTTTGGGATTACTTTTTAAATTTTTATGAAAATATGTGCAAAAGTAAAGAGAAAAGAATATTTGACTTTTTGATATAGTCTATTATTTTTTCAAATTTTTTAATGACTTTTTAATTTTTAAGCTAAAAGATTGAGTTACCAAATGAGACCATAATATTTGATAATTTTTTTTGAGATGTCTAACCATTTTTCTTAATCCATTTTTTTAAGTTTAAAATTTATTCTACAACTATATTTTAACTATTTTATGGTTGAAAAGTTATCTAATACTTATTTAATCAAATTTGAAATAATAACATTGTTAAAAATTTAGCAAAGAATTTGATTTATTATTGATTTTATAAAAAAAATTAGTAAAAAATAAAAAATAGACATTTAAAAAAAAAAAAAAACATAATTCCTGTAAGCTAAAAAAATTTACATTTTATTAGGAAAGAAAATGATAAAAAGTAAAAATGATTAAAAAAATTGAAATGAATGAGAAGAAAACGACAATAAAATATTTTTTCTTCTATGAATTTGAGATTATGATATAATGAAAATTTTACAATGAAATTTGAATGCAAAAATAACTAACTACACTTAAAACAAATTTATTATTATATTTTTTAATATATTTTTTACCTGAAATTTGAAGCTTAATTTTTATCACTTATCTAGTAAACAAACTCACAAATTTATTTATTTATTTCTTTCACTTTTCACCATTTTCATTATAACAAAACTTAACTTAGCTAATACTTCAAATATTATTTTGTCATTTTCTACCCCTTGCTCAAAATCAAGATACAAATGAAGAATTCAACTTGCTCGGTTCTATTTTTTTAAAACCACTTTTCAAAAAATTATATTTTTTTATTTTTTGTGTTTTTTATTTTTATTGATTTTTTTTAATATTATAAATAATTTTTTTTACTTTTTAGACACAGCTAACATAAATATATCTAAAAAGTAAAAAAAATGTTTTAAAAATTCACTAAATACTAAAAATACAAAAAAATACAAGAATTCAGTATATATTTTTTATATTTTTATGTATTTATTAATTTTTAAAATATTTTTTATAATTTTTTTACTTTTTAGATACATCTAAGTAAGGTGCATCTAAAAAAGTAAAAAAAAATGTTTAAATTTAAAATATTTTTTTATAATTTTTTTACTTTTTAGATACAGCTAAGTAGGGTGCATTTAAAAAAAGTAAAAAAAGATGTTTAAAATTTTAAAAATATTACTAAAAACAAAAAAATAAAAAAATAAAAAAACTCAGGTTATGTTTGATTTATAAGATTAATAGTGAAGTATTAATAATCCTATTAAATTAGTGTGTAATAACTATCTAATTGAATTAATATCCATTGGATTAATAATTCCACCCCTATCCCATTACTAATAATCCTACAAATTTGTTGGATTAATTATCCATTGGATTAATAATCTTAAACCAAAATGTTAAAACAATAATTGGACCCACGGATTAATAATTCCAATCCCATACTCTAATCCACTCAATCAAATATGCCCTCAATTTCTAAAAAATTTAATTCAGAATACTCAAATCAAACCTGCTGATTAATTTTTTTACTAAACAAACTCACAAATTTATTTTTTTGTTTGTTTATTTGTTTGATTTTGTTTTTGGTTTTTTTCACATTTCTTTCACTTTTCACTATTTTTGTTAACACGAAACTTAACTTTAGCAAATACTTCAAATTATCCCTTAATCAAAATCAAGATACAAATTTTTTTTGGGTCTCCAAAACAATCAATCCATGGGACTGTAAAAAGCTTGATCTGAAATCACATGGACTGTGAAGACCCGCCACACAAAAAAATTAATAGAGAGGAGAGAGAAGCTGGCGTACAGTCCGAAGAGAGCGATGGCGGAGCTCCGATACGCGAGCTCCATGGGCAACCGAGCTGTGTCCTCTCCAAGGAAGCGAGACGAAATCTCTTCCCCATTGGTCCCTGAAACCCTCCCCCAAGACCAAGACGACGACGACGGTCGCGATCGCCACTCCCGAGATCGAGTCCACTCCTTCTTCCCCAATTTCCAATCTCTGTGCCCTTACTTTGGCGATGACAGTAGGTTTCACCTTCACAATTCCAAGATCTCAATATTCTTGCTCCTCCTCGTCCTTCTCGCTGCATTCATTTCCATTTTCTCAATCCTCAATCGTCTGGTATATTCTTCTTACTTGTATTTAGTATTGTGTATTGCAGTCAATTTCCAATCTCTGTGCCCTTACTTTGGCGATGACAGTAGGTTTCACCTTCACAATTCCAAGATCTCAATATTCTTGCTCCTCCTCGTCCTTCTCGCTGCATTCATTTCCATTTTCTCAATCCTCAATCGTCTGGTATATTCTTCTTACTTGTATTTATTAGTATTGTGTATTGCAGTTTCTGAGTTGTTTATCTGATTTCTTCAACAATTGCGATTCTTCTATTGGCTAATTGGTTGCTCTAATCGAGTTTTTCCACAAAACCCTAGCGATTTAGGTTTCCAAAGCGATCTCATAAATTTTTCTATATTTTTCATGGAAAAATTCCACTTTAATGAATTAAAATTTGAGATGGGGCGGATTTTGGATTGAGAAAATGTAAAACAATGAGTCATAATACTAATACAACTGTGTTGTTAAGCAACAAATTTGAAGAAAAATACACTATAATATATTGTAGGTCAAATTAAGAAGTCTACTCTATCGGACCACATATTTTAGAGAGCATGTGGTGAACTATGTTCTTATTCCCGTTTTTCATGCTAGAACAATATGGGTTCTAGGTAACATAGCTCCAATTAGATAGGCACTCCTAGGTTAGTATTTACTTGTAATGCTCTATATTTGTAATCATTTTAAAGATTTTTAATTTTCCATCAGTTTGTTGGAGTGATGTTTTTCGAAAATTTTGCATTGTCACTGATCTGGAATGGATAATTGGTATTTTCACTGTGAAATTCTGGAAATTTCATGTTTCCAATTAAACAGTGGGCTGTACAGTTGAAGTTGGTTTATGTGCCAAAGTTTGAGGTTCCTGCTTGTTTGATAATAAAAAAAAACTACACCCAGTTTAATCCCATTTGATGGGGGTCTGTCTAGGAGAAATAGATTGAGTACAAACCTAATTTTGGCATAATTTGCATGAAGCGGCTGTCTTCATGTTTTGACTACACAACCTCAAGGTTAGTAGGCCACTGCACGTTGTATAGCTTAAGAAAATCAAAACTTTTGTGTGTTTTCTGAGGAACTTGTAAGAGATGACAAGAAATGAGATAAACTGAGAAAAACAAGAACATTGAGTTTGAGTGAGCCTATTAGAGCTATTTGGTCTTCTACTTGTTCATGTAATTAAGGAGCAACAGATTAGACCTTATATGCATGCAATTGGGCATAATTCTATATTAGGGTATTTGATCGTCTTGCCCTTTACCATATCACTCGGCAGTGATTAGGATTCTCTTTTGTGATGGATGTTCTTGGCTTGTTGCTGAATGAGTTCATTTATTAGGCGATATGCACCTTTACTTTCACGTTGTCAGCTTTTCATTTTGTATGCATGAAAGATCATTTATTCTACCAATTCTGTGAAGTATATGTGACTTTTACTACCTTCTAGAAAACAACTCTCTATTGATGCCTTTGTATGTGTTTGAACCATCACAATATACACAACTTATTTCTTTCAATTAATCACAGAATGCCCCATACTTGTGCAGAAAAGATGGCATTGTTCTTCGCTGTCCTCAAGTAAGTTATGAGCGGTTATTTTGATTTTTCTATCTACCCTTTTTGATCTAATTCTGTTAGTGATTTTTGTTGATTTCACTATTTGTCTGTAACTTTACAAGGTTAAGGAGCCTCCCTCACACTGGGAGAATCCTTATTCGGCCACCACTTCATGGAAGCCTTGTGCTGAGCGACGAAATGGTCCATTTTCAGGTAGCACTAGATATATGTACTAGTTATTTGTGTGTTGGGGATTCATCTTAATTACACTTGCATGGCTATCCAAACTATATTAAATGTTAAATGTAAAGGTAGCAACTAGCAAGTGAAGTCATGTAGTCATATGGCATGATATATAGTTCTTTGTGTTTTTTCCTGGGTGAATAAGATCAATCCTTATTTGTTTGTGGAAAGCTTATAAAAAATGGCGTTGGATTATGTCTGTAATAGTTCCCGTGTTTATTGTTATTTAACTTCCGAATCAAATTTTCAATCAGTTGTAGTCCCATGGCAACATGTTTTTAATTTCCTTTCATTCTTCTGTACAAATGTGTAAAATGATATAGGCATGTGAACTTCCAAATGAGTGTCTTAAGTGATACTTTGAAATGTATGTTGGGGTAAAATAAATTATGACAGAAACGTAAATCTTAACGGAGCATGTCTTTAAATCAACAATTCATATTTTAGATTTTTGTTTGAAATGATTTAGTTCATTTTTGAATCCTAAACGTTGGAAGTCTCATGGTTTGTTGCATTGCATGTAGAGCTTTTTAAGTGATTTGAGTATAGTATCTGTAGTTGTGGGCTGAATATGTGTGAAAATATTCTTCTTTCAGTTAATTTTGATCTTCCCATGTTCTTTAGATTTGTATATATATGCTCATGAAAACATTAATGTGATTTTGATATCTAAGTTATTGCTTTCTTATTGTTGTTCTTTCTTTTTACACCCCCATAATTTTTCTTGCTCTCTGCAGATCTTCCACCTGAGAATGAAACAAATGGATATATATTTATACATGCCGAGGGTGGTCTTAACCAGCAAAGAATTGCTGTATGCTTCTTTTCTTTTAAACTCCATTTAGTTGAGGATCTATTCTTGTGTCTTTATTTTTGCTTTCATTTTTTTCCTGTGATTTAGCTTTTGAAAATTTTGGCTATTTTATATCGGTTGTTAAAATCAAATCTTTTATGCGTTACACTGGAAGGTTATGCCTTTCCTTACTGAAGGACAACAAAGTTCACTTCTGCCTCTTGCTTAATAATGCTCTAGGTTATTGCTTTTTTGGCCAATGTTTTTATTTGATTTGAAGCTATGGTTACATGGATCTCCATATTTGTGCGAAGTACCTGTGTTGGATGCATATGGCATGGGTATCTATATAGAATGTGTCTGGCATATGTAGTTAGATTTGCTACAGACAAGCACATTTGGCAATCCAATTTTACTATGTAATTGTTCATAACGTTCTCTTATTATGTTCTTTCATTATGTAGTTGCTTTAAAATTGATGAAGTGCTCGTGCTAAACACTTTTAAGCTGCATAAAACAATCTTTTTACAAGGAAATTAAATTAAGAATATTAAATAATTTGAATATTTAGCTGCATCCCCATGTCACTGGATTTGGAGACTCGATAAATCTATTCCTTAGAGACATACCCACACCCACACCCACACCCATAAATGCACTTGATTCTGTGACATGATTTTTATTCGTAAGGTAGTTTCTTGAATTCTGTCAAACATACAGTAAAGAATTTTGAACTTCATTGTGTGCCACGTGACATGTGGAAAGTTATACAAAATATCCACAGGCTTCATATTTGTTGTAAAAAATTATTATTCATGACAAATGGTATAATTTTTTGAGTTAAGTGCTGTCTCAAACAAATTCTCATTATGCTGGCACTTGATTGTTTTATCTATCTCCTGCATTGGCCATGGTGCTAGTTTCATTTCTCGTTTCCATTCAGTATTTTTGTGTGTGTTACAGTGAAATTCCCTAAAAGTTAGAACTGTGGTTGAATTGTTTTCTTTTACTAGCTAGAAAAATGCTTCTTCATCACATACTGTAATTGCATGTGTCTGCATGTAGATATGCAATGCTGTTGGCGTGGCCAAAATAATGAATGCCACCCTTATTTTGCCAGTGTTGAAGCAAGACCAGATCTGGAAAGACCAAACGTGAGTTATCTTGACCTATAATTTTATATATTTGTAAAGTAATTATTATAACAAAGATGCATGTGATATTATACACACAACTCTTTACACCAGAATATTCCCAGATATGTAGAAAATTAAATGTTTGAGTGTGATACTATACTGTTGCTTTGGGTTGATTAGAACATGACCTAACCCTAAATTTGGAGACATAAGGATATGGATGTACATGTATTACACATTGAGAGACACATATCCATGCATGTGTGTATCTGTGTGTCTTCACATCTATTTTCTGCCCTAATAGTTTCTCTTTTGTTGCATTATATATGGGGATTTGCTAATTTACTACATGAATGTAGTGTAAGTAATTACTGTACCCCTTTTTCTGGACAAAATGGCTAGAAACTGAACCTTTTTTAGTGAGAGGAAAAATGGTAACTCAAACTTCCCCTCTGCACCACAGGGTCTGATAAACCATGTACCCATCTCTGGTGAGTTGGTGACCTTTATTGTCATCAATCGTAGCCACTGGCCAAATTGTCAAGGTCATTTGTAGCCTTTATCTTCACTAACCATTCGCTGTTGACCATCATCTTCAACCTTACCTGATGCAAAGCATTACAACTCTCTCTTTCTCTGTCTATTGATCTAGATCACATGTCGCCATGCTTGGTCACTACCTAGTCTGTCACGAAGTATTAGATCTAAAACTTCATCATTCTCCTTTCTGTTTGTTCCAAATCTAGATCAAACCATCTTGCCTTCGGCCGTAGACATGGAGCAACGGCTGATGACTATGGTGATGAAGATGATGATGGTGGTTGTGAATGATGACGATACTGTAGATGATGGCTACAAAGGTCACCAGAGCTGACTAATTGTTCAACATTTGCCAGTTTTGTGGGGATGAAAGAGAGAGAGGGTTTGAGTTATCATTTTGCCCTTATTAAACCCACTAGCTAGACAAACGTTTTAAGTCATGGGTATTTTGTCCAAAAAAACAGGTACAATGCGAACCTACAACATTAATGCGGTAGTTTAGCAAATCCGTTACAAATATATATTTTCCTTGTTTTTGCCAAAATTCTAAACTTCTTAATATTAAATATGCCATTAAGGCATGTTATTTCGGGGCATGCAAATTGTGAAAAATTACATAGTTAGTACCGGTGCCATGTCTACCTTCATCTACATCTATGCTAACCCTGTCACTGTTGTTGTTGTAACTATGTTATGTCCACCTCTCCAACTGCCACCAGCTTGAGCACACTAAACTGATTCCTGACATCACTTTCCTTGCCACCACCAGAAATTTCATCATCAGCTGCGAAACCACCGCTTCCATTGATGCTCCTTCATTACCTTCTTAAATTTCGTAATGCAGTATACTCTTCAAAAGAAGAAAACCCTTCTTCTTTTTGTCCTGGTTATGGAAACTATTCAACTCACTTCTACCAATTTTGTCCTGCTTTCAGTGCATCTTAAATAATATTTAATCACCTTTTTTTTTTTCCGGAGGAACTCTGCTAAAATTTTTAACTGTTTCTGAGTCTGTCAGCTCCATATGGCTAACACCACTTTGCAAGCCTACTGAATGCTATACGAACTAGGCAAAGTCAACCATTTCTTGCATTGAAGTGGCTTAACTATTATTTTTGAGAGCTAATCCCCTAATATGTTGGAGAAACTCTCCACTTCTTTCTGCCTTTAGTTGAAGGAGATTGTCTTGTGTGTTGCTAGAGGCTTTGACTCTGACAATTAAATATCAGATACTTAAATGGTTCCTTTTCATTCTAATTTTTAATGTCTGCAGGAAATTTGAAGACATATTTGATGTAGATCATTTCATTGACTACTTGAAGGATGATGTGCGAATTGTTCGTGATATTCCTGAGTGGTTTACTGATAAATCAGAGCTGTTCACAAGTATAAGGTCTGACTGTCATGATTTTTCTCACCTTTTGTATCATTTTCCGTTATTAACTGATTACTAATAAAAGGTTACGTAAAGGGTTACAGTATGATGCTCACTTAGGGATACATATACAGAGGGATCAAAACATTAATAATTTGATGTTCCAAATTGAACCTTAATAATTTGGAACTTCTAAAATGTTTGATAAAAAATTTCCGATATATTTGATTTTAAAAAGGTCTCTTTGAAACTTGTAGAACTTGTACTAGTTTTACTTTATTGGTTGTTAGAATGCAAAAGAGTTGAATATTAGGGTTAGGGTTAGGGTTAGAGAGGAAGAGAGAGAGAAAAGAGATGATGGTGTGACTAATTGGTTTAGAGTTGTGAAAATCAACCCTCCTCCAGCAGTATATATTTCTATGAAGACATATTACAATATGACCATTGTACCCTCATCTAATAAAATAATAACACAATAACTTATGACTATTCTAACATTGGTGAAGACTGTTACAGTCCTCTTCAAACCACAAAATGGTTTCAAAGATAAGAACTTCTACAGTTCTACTTGCATATTTTTATTAAGATTCTTATGATCATCACTTTGTTCCAAGTGTCTTATATTTACTTAATGATCTTCTCAATGCATGATAGACGGACTGTAAAAAACATTCCGAAGTATGCTCCAGCACAATTCTACATCGACAATGTTTTGCCTCGGGTCAAAGAGAAGAAGATAATGTCCCTAAAACCTTTTGTTGATCGACTTGGGTAAGTTGTGGTTATACAGATCTTTTACTGTAATGGGCTCTGTTTAGCTTATTTTGAGGAAGTAACATAAATTTATTGTTCAGGTATGACAATGTTCCTCCAGAAATCAACAGGCTAAGGTGCAAGGTGAACTATCATGCCCTGAAATTTCTTCCTGAGATCGAACAAATGGCTGATCTATTAGCGTCAAGAATGAGAAACCGCACAGGAAGTTCAAATTCAAATCCTTACATGTAAGTGACTTGTTGGGTATGTTACTTTCGAAACTTGGCTTAACCATATTGTTTGATTTGTTATTTTACTCACAGTAATCTCAAGTTTCTACATAAACAGGGCTCTTCATCTTAGATTTGAAAAAGGGATGGTAGGCCTATCATTCTGTGATTTTGTGGGGACGAGGGATGAAAAAGCTCTAATGGCATTATATAGACAGAAAGAATGGCCTCGACGGTATAAGGTGCTTAGAGCTTAATTGTTTCGTTGATTCCCTGGGATTAGAGCCAAATGGACATGGATATATGATATTAATTTTCTTTTTGTGGTGATTAGAATGGTTCCCATCTGTGGCCACTGGCTCTTCAGAAGCGGAAGGAAGGACGATGCCCTCTTGAGCCTGGAGAAGTGGCAGTAATTCTTAGGGCGATGGGCTATCTGAAAGAAACACAAATCTATGTTGCTTCTGGGCAGGTTTATGGCGGACAGAACCGCATGGCACCACTCAGGAACATGTTCCCGAATCTTGTAAGTTCATTTGCTTGATTTCTTGTGCAATCCAATTTGGCAACTGAAATATATTTTGAAGAGTAGATGCCATGTCAAAGTTACATGCTAAACAATCTTGTTACTTTTGACCTCTTTTAAGAAACTTCAGCCTAAATGATTTGGTGATTTTTTTTTCGTTAAAAAAAATGCATTTTGTATTAAATTATTGAAGTGGGCCAGAGAAAGAAATAAAGTTATTCCATTTAATAGCAAGTAATCTTAAAACTTTGGATGAGTTCTTTACTTCTGTTACCCCTTTTAGCAAATCAAGCATAAAACTTTGGACGAGTTCCTTTCCCCTTTTTTCTTGATTGGTTGTTTCTTCATGCTGATTAAAATTTGAGATTAATATTTGCATTTTATATGGAACCACTGCAGCAATGTCATCAAATGAAATTGCGTAAGTTTCTTCTTATTGATTTTTTGTGATGAACTTCGGTGGAAACAAAATGGAATTAGTTTATAGTGCCAAATATGTTCTTGATTCTGTTGGTGTTAAATTCTGTCCTAGTTGAAATGTTAGCTTAAATTTCTTAGTTCATATGATCATTTTAAGGGTGTTTAAACAGGTGACAAAGGAGGAATTGGCAAGCAAGGAGGAGCTGGATAGTTTCAGGAAACACGTTACAAGCTTGGCAGCCCTCGACTTTTTGGTTTGCTTGAAATCTGATGTGTTTGTGATGACCCATGGTGGCAACTTTGCGAAGCTGATCATTGGGGCCCGTAGGTACATGGGTCACCGGCTTAAGTCCATAAAACCGGACAAGGGACTCATGTCCAAATCTTTGGGGGATCCCTACCTGGGCTGGGCAACCTTTGTGGAAGATGTGGTTGTCACCCACAAGACGCGGACTGGATTGCCCGAAGAAACCTTCCCTAACTATGACCTCTGGGAGAACCCATTAACTCCTTGCATGTGCAGAGCCTGACCTTGACGGTTAATTCTTAAGATTCTCTCTGTTGAGCATCGGCTTCAGGAGCTTGAGCGCAAGCTCTATGACAATATTTATAAGTTGCTTGCACAAATTAGTTAATATGAATACAATTTTGGGCCATGAGTGAAGATATTGAAAATTATGTGGTCACTAGTACAGGTTGGTAGGAGAGGGATTGGATGCCACCATTATACTCTGGTGGTATACACTTCCTTTGGAGGGACACTTACAGATTTGTATCCATAAAATTAGCTCCTTTTTGTAATTTTTATTTTATTTTTTTACGTATTATTGATTAATGTAAATTAAGAGTGAATTATGTATTATTCAACTAATGAAATTCGGTTCAAACATGGTTGTGTTGCCTACAGTGGGAGTTATTTATTTTTACTTTTTGTTAGTGCGCATAGGATTGTAAATGAACAGAGTCGTTTGTGAACAGATTCGAACTCGATTTGATAAGGGGTCATTCGAACTTGGTTCGTTAATTTTTTTTGGCGTCCAAGCTCGAATTTGTTAAAATATTAATAAATAAGTCTAAATATATTAAAACTTGGTTGTTTAGTTGATTCGTTCAACATTTATCATTTATATATTAAATAATATAAAAATATGTATAAAAAATAAGATAAATATGTTATTTATATATTTAAAAATTATAAATGTAAATAATATTTAATTAAAAATAATATATTTATATAATAATAGTGGTAGATATTATTATTTTAATAAAATGTTGATTTTTCTTTGAGTATGTTTATATATAATTGTATAATTAAAGTTTTAATTGTAATATTATTCTTATACATAAATATAAATTTATAATTTTTTTTGGTTTGTTAATGCTCATGAATCATGAATAGGCTTGAATCCAAGTAAAACTTAAATCAACTCAACTTTAAATCCATTCGTTAAATTTTTATTAAGTTTGAATTTAAATTCATTAAAATTTTAATAAACAAATCTAAACATATGAAAGTTTGGCCCAGCTCATTTGCTGTTTGCAATCCTAATTGTGCAGCAGATACGTTGATCTGGATTTGAAGCTACTGAAAAAATGTTAAATTTGAATTGAACAATATGAATTTGTAGATTTAATTAATGAAATAGTTATGAAATCATTTTATAAACAAAACAGTTATTAAAATGGCATTTATTTACTTAAATACAATTATCACATTATTTTGAGGACAAATCAATTCTGTATAAATAATTTTTTTAAGCTGGTGTATTCTAATCGCAGCTTTTGACCCTCCAAACCACGCGTCAGGATCCTCAAGAGTAGAAACCTTACAATGATCTCCTAAAGTTGGCTGAAAATAAACCTCATCAAAACGACATCGTGTGAGTAATAAAAAAAAAAGAAAAAAAAGTAAGCTTTAAGTCAAAACATCGGAGGGTTCCTGCAAATATGAAGCATTAGAGAGAGAGGGAGAGAGCTGAGAGGAGGAGCAGGACATCGCCGCCCCGCCCCTTCCCATCCCCAACATGCCGCTGCCCCGCCAAGGAGGGGGGTGACTCATGTTATCTTCATTCTTCAGATTCTAAACGAAAAAACAATTGTGTTTTTGACTAAGTTTTATTTGAAACTCGCTTGATAAAAATAAGAGAACACAAATACTGATATTGAATACGAATATTCTTTAGTCCAAGTGTAAGCACACAAATTTACACGGCAATCATCTAAATAATCCTACAACCCATCAAATGTGTTATTTTTTGTCATGAAAAATGATCAAATAAGTTATTTTTTAACTGACCATTACACAATTTATTACAGAGCCCACAGTTTGAACCTTGATACAAAACATAGCAAACTTTTTACTACCTAATAGCACTCAACAGATTCATATTGCCCCACCTAATACTGAATGGTAGGTGTTGCCACCAGACCCGATTCCGTTGCCTGGCATTGAATGACCATCAACTTAGAAGTGTTGGGTTTTTGTCTTCTTTCTGCTTCAAATCTTACCATAGCATAAAATCTAATTATAGTGGGAAGTTTTTTGGATTCTTCTCCTTTTGTGGTTCCTTTCATTATTTTGTTCTTTTCACCAGTGAGATCTTTGATGCATCCCCGCCTAGTTCTTCAAAAACTACCAACAAATTTTGTGTCAGGTTCAACCAAGATTTGGGAACATGATACCTGATAAACCCCAAAACTCCAAAAGAAATTATCAGAATATAGCGGCGCGGCAGCGGCAGCGGCGACGGCCGCTCGTTGGGGGTGGGAAGGGGCGGGGCGGCGATGTCCTGCTCCTCCTCTCAGCCCTTCTCTCTCTCACTCAAAGCATCTCCAATGGGACTGTTAGAGGAGCTGCCAAAGCTATGGCAAAACTGAAAAAAAAAAGAGATTTCCAATGGCCCGCTAGCTTCATTTTTATTATCAAATTTGACAACAGAAATGACATTTGCCAAACATGTCATATCATAAAAAATAATTGACTTTGGATGCAAAGCTCAGTTCAGTTCAGTTCATCCCAAAATGTTTGAATATATTTTTTTAAACAAAGTTCACTAATATTTTTTTTTGTCAAACATAATTCATTTATTTATTATAGCATTTGTTCCTTCAATTTTTTTTCTCTAAATAAATTTCATCAATTTTTGCATTTTCCAAACACAAATTTCAGAATGATCAGTCAATAATTTGTTTCACAAACTTCACAAATATTGGAAACAATCAGTCAATAACAAATTTCAGAATTATCAGTCAACACAAATTTCACAAATTTATATAAATTTCTGAAACAAACTAGTTTGAATTTATAAGATAAATACTTGGGTTTCAATATGATTGATGAACTTGTTCTTCATCTTAACCAATTCATGAGTTTTGCATCGAGTTCCAATATTTGAAAATCTCATAAAAGATTTGTGGGTCTCTTGTATTTTTTTCCACCTAATTTGGTCTGAAACAGACATAGATCAGAGAGAGGGGAAATGGGATTGGTGGGCCTCCAAGAAAATGGTAATAGAGAAATGGGTTTGATGATGGTGAGATGAGATCTAAAGAAAGAGAAAGAGGGTGGATGGGTTTGATAAAGATGGAGATATGGATATTTCCAATCCAAGAAAGAAAGAAGAAAAAAGGTGCGTTTTGAGAAAAATCATCAAACAACTTGATCAAAAAGAAGAAGATGATTCCAGCCGAGAGAGAGACATAAATGTGTTGTCTTCAGAGAATGAAAGAAAGATGCTCAACCTACTTTGATGAAAAAGAAGATGAGAAAGAGATAATGGTGTGTTGTCTTGGAAGGATGATTCTAGAGAATTAATCTCAACCATTGGTTTAGGGTATGTGGACGATGATGATTTTGTCTTGGAAATAAAAAGAGTCATATCACTAAAAAATTTATATTTAAACAACACCTACAAATTTAAAGGGAAAGTTAGTTGAGATTTGTTAAAATAGCAAGTGACTACTGGAGAAACATTGCTATAATTTGACAAAATAGTACTATTTATTATTTGTCAAATTATAGCAATAATAATGCTATTTTAGCAAACACCATTAGAAATACACTAATGCTTCATATTTGCAGAACCCTTCAATATTTTGAATTAAAATTGATTTTTTTTTTAAAAATTACTCACCAAAATAATATGGATTTGATGAGATTTATTTTTAACTGTTGGATTACTTACTCGAAGAGTTCGCTCTAGGGTTTCTACACTAGAGGATCTAGACGCACAAACCACTTTTACTTTATAAAAGTTTCACATTTCTTTCCTTCTTTTTTATTTTTTTATTTTATTTTTGTTCAGAAATTCTACTACTGCTATACTCTCTCAACTAGTTCCCCTGAGAGGTACATACAATTAGAAATAAAATTCTTAAATTAATATTGACCATTTGATTCTTTCCAAATGAGTTGCTTCAATTTACTTTATTTTATTTTACTTGTATTTAATTCATCAGATGCCTACAATTAGAAATTGACATGGATAGGCCCACAAGGCATACGGCCCACGGCAAACCACCCCGAACCCATCGCTTGGGGCCAATGGCACAACCCGGTTGACAAGGCCCAGAACAGCTGGAGGCCACCTAGAAATGAAGGGCCAACGGCATTTAGGCACACGGCAGGTGGGACACGGGCCACATCAGCAGACAAAGATCTGCAGAGTTATTATCACAACACATCACCATTAATGCGACCCATCACAGCATTTATTACAACAGCACTCCCCGCCGGAACAGAGCCTCCATCACCCTAAACAAGATGAGCTATGGCACAGGCTTTCGGCGAAAAAAAGCACGTCACAGGAGACAGGAAAAATGATGACAAAAGGATATAAGCAAGGATAAGAGGAAAGAAAAAGGGGAAGTTATCTCTCTCTCTTGATCTCTCGATATACAGTTTTTCATACTCTGCTCTACTAATTCTTGCACCGGAGGGTTCACTGGGGGACTACCCCGTTCCCCCCCGAACTTGCATGCAGGTCATCTGACGGAGTCTCCTTCTTGAGCCGGAGCCTGAAGAGCCTGGGCCGGTCCGACCCATCCACCCGGGAACCGATACCTCATCAGAAATAAAATTAATAAAATAATGCTGACCATTTGATTATTCCAAAATGATTTGCTTCAATTTATTTTATTTATCACCGGGGATAGTGGTAGAGTAGATAATGCATTAGCCTTCCACAAGGAAGAGAGAGCTCAAATTTTAGGGGAGATGAATTTTGGAAAATGAATGTATTATATTTCGATTATAACTCTGTTTCTTATTATAGAGGTGAATAAAATTTATTGTTATTTTATGAGTTAAATTAAATCTGATTATCAATTGATTATCCTAATATCAGGATTTTCGAATGCTATAATACTCCACGAAACATCCTTTTTCGATAAAAGAAATTATTTTGTTTATTTATATTTTGCAAAACGAAACAAATGACATAACAAAAAATATTTCCGCTTTCTTTCCACAAATGCCAAACACAGCCTTAACGTTGCGTGGTCTTTTGTTTTTTTTGAACTTGTTGCGTGGTCTTACCAACGTAAGTTGTTACATCGTTATCAACCCGAAGAACCGAACCTCGCAAGGATTGGTTTGACACGAAGGTTTGAGTTGGAATTATTTTGATTGTAAAAATATAAAATAAATTTTTTGTAACACCGTTAACCCTCACTTTTGCTCCGTTTACTACCCCTCTCTGTCTCTCATCTGTACCCATAATGCTCCCTCAATATATATATATATATATAATTCAATATACCGATATACCCTCTCTCTCTCTCTCTCTGTGTGTGTGTCTTTTGAAGACACCATGAAGGCCTCTGTTTTCATCTCTCTCTGTTTCTTCTTCTTCTTCATTCTGTTTCTTGTCCAAGGGTATGTCTCTAACTTGTGTCTTCTTTGCATTGTTTGATCTAATGGGTTGGTTCTTTATTTATTTTTACTTAATTGATTGGTAGCAAAGGAAACCTAGTTCATAGAATGCTGCTGTTTTGTTAGTAATGTATTTATTGATTTAGTAGTGGTAATCTTTGTCTGGAATTAAGTCTTGGTGAAGACCGAATGGTGGTTATAATTCCCAATTTAAGGAAATTTAATTTTTGAATTTTAATTGGGCTGATCAATTTCATTACCTTTTTAGCTCTGTTAAGTAGGGTGTAATCAGTTCGGTTCAGTTGGTATTGTGGGACAATTTAATACCAAATCAAACCTTTGGTTTTGTGGTTTTTCGGGTTAGTGTAAATGAGGAATTCACAGGAGGTTTTAAGTGTTTTATAAAAGGAACATGCTATTCCACAAGAAAAATTATACATAATTTTATATCAGAATGATGTAGCAGTGTTGTTTTTGTAATTAAATGTGTCTCGGTGTGCTCTTTGTTCTAAGTGATAGGTTCAAAACCCAGTTAAGTCATTATGCATAAGTTTTTTGTATGAATTTTCTGTTTATATATTACCACATCACGAATAAGTGAAGAGAGAGGATGAGAGTTGCTCTATAAATGTCTTCCTCCTTAACTTTTATTGCAAAATGTATAGCAAAGGTCATTTATCTTCTCATATTTCCTGAATTGGAATAAAAAAGTGTACTTAAATATAATATTTCGGTTGGTATTGGTATAAATTCGACTGAAAATAAATAAAAAAAAATTTGGTCCGTTCGATTTCACCAATTTTTCTTATAGTCCTATTGTTAAGTGCTTGCGTTTGTTGATACATTTTTCACGGATTTTTTTTGAGGTTATGTAGCTGAATTTAATAGTTTTATGAAACAAATTATGAGAAAAACCTATCACCCATTTCAGGGTATTCTCTAAGGGACAAGTAGAACATGCTAGCTTGCCACCAAGGGGTTGGAACTCCTATGATTCCTTTTGCTGGACCATCTCTGAAGAAGAGTTCCTGCAAAATGCAGAACTCATAGCTCAGCGATTGAAGGCGCATGGATATGAGGTCTTTAAACATTACTTAATAACCATATATTTAACATGTCAATGGTTGTTTTATAATTTTTAAGTACCCCTTAGAGATGGGCCTAACTGTTTGAATATTTTCGATCCAATGTAGTATGTTGTGGTGGATTATCTCTGGTATAGGAGGAAAGTCAAAGGTGCTCACACTGATTCTCTGGGATTTGATGTAATTGATGAATGGGGAAGAATGATTCCGGACCCTGTTAGATGGCCTTCATCCAAAGGTGGGAAAGGGTTCAAAGAAGTAGCCAAGAAAGTTCATAGCATGGGTTTGAAATTTGGGATTCACGTTATGAGTGGTATAAGCACGCAGGCTGTCAATGCAAACACCCCTATCTTAGACACCATCAAGGTATTGCTCGTCAATCCTAACGTAACTCAATTCGATTTCTTCCTTATAAAATTAGAGGATGCAGTATTCTTTAAATTTATTCTTGGTACCAAACTGTAGAAAATAGGATTGAGATCATCTCCATTTCATAATCAATGGTTATGAAAGATTCATATCAACAATTTTTATTGGAAATTCAAAAAATGTTGAAGGAAGTTTTCAAACTTAAAATGACATGGTAGTTCTTGACCATTGATTCTGGATTTTAATGATTGCAACCTTATGAAGTGAAATGGAGATCTCCATTTCCATCTATGAAATGGAAATGATCAAACTCCTAGCAAATATATTCAAGATCTGTAAACTATGCCATGATTGAGCCAATTACTTAATCTTTGAGTCTTGAATATAAGATACTTAGGTAGGAGGAAATGAAGGGGCATGTTAAATTAGGAAGAGAATCACACGCTAATTTTTAAACTTGTTGCTTACATATCTGTTTCAAATTTTCCTTTAGGGAAGTGCTTATGAGGAATCAGGCCGGCAATGGCATGCAAAAGATGTAGGGTTAAAGGAGAGAGCTTGTGCATGGATGCCAAATGGTTTCATGAGTGTAAATACTAACTTGGAAGCAGGAAGAGCTTTCTTGAGGTCACTTTATCATCAGTATGCCGACTGGGGTGTTGATTTCGGTAATTGAATTCACCAGACAGAAAGTCATTCTGTTTTTAGTCTATATTCACCACCTCAGTGCATTCTTTAATACAAATCGGAGTATGTTGCATTTTGACATAGAAATGAAGCAGACTATGTGATCATGTTTTACATGAAATTGAGTCCTCCTTTTGTCCTACATAGCATTTGAAGTTATTCTAGTTTTTCTTATTGTCAATTAGGATTTTAGGACATTGCATTGGTTTAGTTTGACGTATTCCATTATATAAAACACACAATTCACTTGGTGAAGCTATGCCACACATTTTTTCCATGCCCAAATTACCCTTATATAACTGCCCAAGTTTTTTATTTTAAATTTTGATTTCATCAGTATTTTTTTTCCTTCCATCTACATTCAAGTTTGTTTTGTTTTGTTTTGTTTTGTTTTTTTTTTTTCCAGATGATGATTACAATCATCTTTTATTTCTTAGCACGCATCACATGTACGCGTAGCCTTCTAGTTACTATAATTTGTGGTGATGGCTTTATTCTTTTAATGCCTTCAAATGCAACAGGAGCAAAATAAAGCCATTCATCTCTCTCAAGGATGACTTAATTCCATCAAATTTATGCATATGAACTCTATAATACAATGTTAAAATCCACCTACTCTCCCCCTACTTCACCCACTTAAACCTACTCCACTAAACCTAACCCACTACACCACTACCACCTCACCTACTCCACTAAACCTAACCCACTACACCACTACCACCTCCACTTCACCTACTCCTTACCTACTACACACTAACCCTCTTCTATATATAGGAATCATGAATCATTGTAATAGATATAACATTACATCAATCAATAATAATACATACAATTTATTCTCTCTCTTTCTCTATACATTATTTCTTACATACAATAATACAATAATCAATTTACAAATGCATACGAACTCCATCATACAATAATCAATTGATCTTGGCAGTCATTTTAGTTTCCCATATCTCATTTATCCCATCTGTTTTCTTCTCAGTGAAACATGACTGTGTATTTGGTACTGACCTTAACCTAGATGAGATAAGGGTTGTATCAAAGGTATGTAAAGCACCTCTTTTCTACTGTAATGTTGATGATATTCAGCGCAACTTTTCTGTTTGGGGAAGTTCATATGTCATTATATCATTATCAAGTGCTTTCCTTGCAGGTTTTAAGGGGACTTAGCCGTCCCATCATATATTCCCTATCTCCAGGAACTAGTGCAACACCAACCATCGCAAAGGATGTACATGGCCTAGTAAACATGTATAGGATTACAGATGATGACTGGGATTTATGGGGAGATGTTGCTGGCCATTTTAATGTTGCCAGGTTGGTATAGTATTTTTCACTTCTGTTTGCTGGTTTGCCAATTCCAAGTTATCTATTTTCTTCTTTTTTTCTTCCCTATTTTATTTGGCAATTATTCTCCTCTTTTTTACCATATACGATGTTTTCCGCTTTCGTGTCAGGGACTTCTCCGCTGCTAATATGATAGGAGCTCAGGGCTTGCTGGGAAAGTCGTGGCCCGACTTAGATATGCTTCCACTGGGGTGGCTTACTGATCCAGGTATAACTCTTGGCAAGCCTAGTCTTGGGGTCATATTCACTGCTAGAAAGGGGCATTCATCTTGCCCTTAATAGCAGGTAACTCCTAGTGGAGTGACATTTCTTACTCAGAAATTCGATCTTTGCACTCCTAAGTAAAAAACTCACTCCCGTTGAGGAAGAGACTCGCTTCCAACTAAGAATCTAAGATAAAACCTCTAAAACATACAAATTTCAGAGAAACAAAAGAAAAACAACTCAAATTTTTTCTAATACTTAATATTTATTTATACTTGAAAAAGATAATTTATAGTTGACATCTTCGTAGCAGGAAACTCCTATGGGAGCCTCACACCTCGCTCCAAAACCTCATCCTTGCAGCCGTTCTTAAACTTTTCTATAGGACCCTTGCTCTTGCTTTGTGCAACTATGGTTGATGTCAATCTCTAATATTTATTCATATTACAATTAAGTAGAAAAATATATTTGTGATGCAAGATTTAAGTCACTTGATTCTATAGGCTAGGAAAATACTCCACTCTCTGAATTTGGAGGTCAGTGGTAGGATAAGTTGTTCAAATATTGTAAGCTTGCTTCTATGAAATAACTCTTGGTATTAATGAAATGCTTGATTCCTTTTACTTTAAGAGAACTGCTAACATAGGATGAGGCCATCTTGTGTTACACAAAGTCACCAATTGTCCCAAAAGCTTAGGTTTTGTTAGGAAATGGCCCACTAATGTATGTCAAGCAATACAATGTAATCCCGTTTTGCACGTGGATAAACAAACATCCATATATAGAGAGAAGAAAGAATGCAAATGGGGACCAAATGCAAATGGAGAAATTTGAATCCAAGACCTCTCCCACCCTGAGTTCTTGATGTCATGTCACAAATACAATTTAGAGAGAGAAAAGGAGGTATTATATTATTCTTCCATATCATTGTTACAATGCTTATTGCTATAAATTATATAAAGAGAGAACTCTAAAAGATGCACAATACAACTACAAAGATAACAAAGGAAACTACCAAAAATACGCATTCCTTTTACAGGTACATCAGTGTGTGCATAATCTTTGAGTTGCAGCAGACAATATTGTGGAGCACAGCCACATGCTTAATTATCCATTCTTTTAATTTCAGGAACAAAGATTTGACCCAAGATCAGTCCCATTTGGGCAAATTTTACCAAAAGTTACATGGATTTGACCTCATGGCCTTGGAATACCAAAGCAAAATAATACTACATTACATCATCTAAATCTAGAAGTTTAGTTCGAAAGGATGAAAAGCCTTAATTAATTGGATATACTAAATTATTAATAGGTTCGAATGAAGGTCCACACAGAAGTTCTAATCTTAATCTAGACGAGCAAAAAACTCAGGTACGCTTTTTTTATTTGGGTGAATAAAAACTCAGGTATGCTGATGTAGGTATTAACTGAGTTTGTTTTTCGTACTTCTCATGTTCTGTAACTACTTTCTGTTTTGAAACAATTGTGTTTGTTTTTTTTTTTTTGACAGATGACTTTATGGTCCATGGCCAAGTCTCCGCTCATGTTTGGAGGGGATATGAGAAACCTTGATGAAACCACCTTCAACCTCATCACAAGCCCTACCCTACTAGAAATAAACTCCTTCAGCTCAAACAATATGGAGGCAAGTGAACTTGCCTATTTTTGTGACTCCTAGGTAGTGTTTGGTTGACTAGAATGAAAATGGAATGGAATGGAATCGTTATTTCTTAACCTGCCTATAGAATGACCACTCACTTACAATGGTGACTGACGATTCGTTTTACAACATTTTTTGGTGGACCAAACGTAAGAATTAACACTCTTATGAAATGATCATTCCCGTTCCATCTTCTTTTGAGTAAACCAAGCACTTCCCTAGTCCTAAAAATTGACAAAACAGAGCCATAAGATGCTATTTGTTGCACACAGTTTCCGTATGTTACTGGAACAAATGGTCTCCGATATAAAAACCGAGGCCTAAACTCGCAGTCAAGAAGTTTGGAAGACATGAATGCACCAGAAACCAATATTTTTGGTCTCACTAGCTGTATGGATCCCAAAGCAAAACATTGGTCCATTAAATCCCTTGATAATGAGCTTGAACAAGTCTGCTGGAATTGGAACGGAAGCACAAGAAGCAAATATGAGGCACCTCTTTGCTTGTACACGAGAAAACCGCTTTTGGAATCGTAAGTTTGCCCTTCCCTGATTGGCTTGTGCTATATCAATTGTTGCATGATTTTCATTGTTTCCTATTTTGTAGTTGACTTGCTAATTGACATTGATGTAGAGACGAAGAGATGATGTATAAGCAGCAATATCAAGGGAAACTTCATTTATTAGCAACAGACTCGATGGAGTTTTGCTTGGATGCTTCTCCAAAAAGGAAGCGTACTTCCAAAGAGTTCAAGAGAGGTTCATTTTCACCGTGCAAACGGGACACTAACCAGGTATGTTGAGTTTCTACTAAGGTGTTCAGCTATCTTTAGGCTGTGTTTGGATTAAAGATTTGACTAGATATTTGTGGAGGGAAAAGAAAAGGGAAGGACAAAGTGAAAAAAAAAGAGCTTTATTAATTTCTAGAAGTTTATTTCTGGCAAACAGTGGGTTGTGAGATGTAAACATCTGTATTAATTCCTTTTGATTTAACCACAGCCATAAATCTTGTGTTTTTATTAATTTATTTATATTTATTCTTGTCTACGAAAATTTTAATTTACATTACTCGAATGAAAGAAAATTAATAACTGACACATCTAGTCTAACAGATGTGGGAGCTGAAACATGATGGAACTCTGCAAAGCAGCTATTCTGGTTTATGTGTGTCAGTAAATACTATCAAAGGTGATATGTTTAAAGCCGACTACAATTCTGTAACAAACATTTTAGTTATTTTTGACTTCGTATTTTCCAAATACTGATTGATTTTCATGCAGTTAATGCTGGTTTTGGAGGAATTCGCTCTTGGATTGCTACAGGAAGAAGAGGTTCAGTTTCCTCATAACTCTTGATTATTTCTAGTTGAAGGAATATCCTTGGTTGTTTGAAAAATACTTATGGAAATAATGAGTTTTGAGAGGCTCTTAATGACTGGAATGGTTGGTTAAGGATGGTCCACTTCAAAAGTGTTTGAATTAAGTGAAAAACCATCGTCCAAAAGATAGTCAAGTAAAGATTAAACCTTTTTTTCTTGGGTTTGCAACTCCTACAAATAAGGTACAAGGAGTTACAAACGTCAAAAATTACTGCATTTCCTTGACCTAAACAAGGTGTCACTATGAAGCCTATCCTAACACCAGTTGGTTTTAGGCAAGATGGTGGGAACTCGGTCTGACAAGTGGTATTAGATCTAGCCTATAGGTCATGGGTTTGAGTTGCAGGAGCATCATCGTGAGGGAGTCATTGTCGGTGTACACAATGCCACTCCCTGCGACATCTCCAAAAACATACAATTAGTTTTAGGCGAGATGGTGGAACTCGGTCCAACACAAGGTATAAGGATTTGTGAATTTACTAGAGATTTATCTGACTGTACCAAAATGTTGGATGCTATACTTATGCAAATACTTGGAAAAGTCTACAACCAGCCAAAGTTGCTTAATCTAAGGCGCTGAGAAAAGCCTTTCCTTTGAGGTTTTTAGCATAAAGTTCACCCTTTGAGAAAAGGCTTTTTAGCATGCCTTCAATTCATTTCTTGGTTTATGATTTTTTACTCATTTTTTGTTATTGTTTTATTCTACTAATTGTTCTCTCTCTTTTCAGGAGAATTATATGTTGCTTTTTTCAATTTGAATTCTGAGAAGACTGTAATATCTGCAAAGCTATCGGATCTGGCTAAAGCGCTTCCAAGTAAACATTTGAATAATGTCTCATGTACGTGTAAAGAAGTATGGAGCGGGAAAGATATGGGAGAAGTGAAACATTCAATCTCAATGGCAATAGAAATGCACGGATGCGCACTGTTTATCTTACATTGCAAGTAGGTGCTGCTGATCGCGCCTTTCTTTTAGCTATCGAGTGCAGATGTAATGTTGTGGAATTTATATGAGTTGCGATATATGAAACCTTTCTGGTGTATGTAATCTTATTATGTGTTGAAATAAATGAACCATGTTGTAGTGGTTCTCCCTTCTTATCTTACAGATGTAATTGGGCAACACATTTGTCTGTCAGTGTCGGTGAGAGCCCGTGAACATAGCATACGGGCAACAAGTTTGTTATGAGTCGGTGAACCACGTGGTAGGTACTATGGTCCTTTGGGTCATAGTAGCCAATAAACAGGAGTATATCACTACGACTCGTGTGCTCATAAAGTTATCTGGGTTATGGTTACATAATTTGTGGCTTGTGACTTGAATTGCTGGTTTTTAGAACCTGTGGTTAGTTTTCATGGGTTGATTGATGGATTTGGCTTGATTTGAAGTTTAGAAGAGAATTATGAAATTTTATTAGTTTTGGATATTTAATGAATTTTTGAAAGTGGTTGGGTGTAGTGTAGGTTGGTGACTATTACTTGTCTATTTATATTTGGTTTATTAGACAGTATATGGCATTGTACAAATTGTGTTAAATGAATCTCATACTTCGTATGTAATATGTACCCTATTTTATTTTACAAGTATTAGAATTATTAATATTTGGATTGTCTCCAGACCACTGGGATTTTAGCTTAACCCCCACTAGACCTTGTAGGTATTGTTCAAGCTTTGGTCCAAAGTTGAGTTGCAGCTGATTGAGGGCTCTTGGTGTTCTTTTTATGATTTTATTTCTTTTTTGAGTATTTGATATGTAAAATTTCATTTGTGGAATTCTTGTATTGGTCTTTGGAATTGGGACAATGTAGACGCTCTGGTGCATTATTTAAAGAGTGGGGTAAATTATAAATACACCCCGAGATTTAATTAAAATACAAATCACCTCTTGTGGTTTTAGAAATTACATTCCACTCCTGAAGTTTTTAATTTCATAATAAATCGCCTCTTTTATTAATAAATCATGAAGTAATAACAATTTCTAATGATGCTAGAAATATGATTCAACTAATAATGTAAGTAATTTTAATTATTGTATAGTAGAGTAATTATGAATTTTATTTTTTTTTAATTAATTTTGTTAAATAAAATTTTTTGACAATGAAGCATTTGCAATTTTTTAAATCGTTGTATTTTAAGTAAATTTTAGATAGTGTATTTGTAGTTTAATCTCTAGAGTGTACCAACTTTGGACCCACATTTAATTTAGATTTTTATTTATTTATTTTATTTTAAAAATTTTAAAGGGGCTTAATATTTAGCTAGACCTAATTTGGGGTTGTTGAACCTTCACTACCTTAGTTCAAAAAAAAAAGTAAAACCTTCACCACTTGCAGTTTGAACTTAGACTAGGCTTAGTTTGGCATAATTCAAAAAAATTAAAAAGTTACTATCCTATTTAAGTCACATCATCTTATTTAAATCACATCATTTCTCTACCATATCACTTCAAACTCAATCCATATTTTACGTTTTTTCGTAAAAAATCAAAAAGTGCACTTATTTAGATCATGTCAATAGTCTTATCTGTTTCTAATAAAATGGATTTTTTGTCATCTAATTACCTTAACTAACTTCATTCCTCAAGTATGCCAACTTTGGATTGTTGATTCAATTATTGGTGAGAAAACCATGTGGGAGGAGAATAATTCTCATCACCTTCTTTACTAATCACATTTAATTTGAGACATCATATGACTGTGACCTTGGAGCATCAATAGCTTCTCCATTTGGTATGACAACATTCGTTGACAAACTTCACTAACAGATTATAATATAAAAACACTTATTTTAGCGACGTAGTATATGTCATGTTAAAATAGCACTATAGCACAGGATATAACACACCGTTATTTTGTACTACACTAGTAGTGATAGAGCAATTTGTTGTAAAAATATATAAAGCGTGCTTTTATTGTGTTAAAATAACACAAAACTGTGTTATTTTTTGACAACATTGTGAGATAATTGTTTGACAACATTGTCAAAGAGGTCGTTTGTTATTTTTATTTTTTTTAATTTAAATTGAAATAAGAACTTATTCAGTATATTAGTTTTATTTTGTTGTTTAAGAAACTAATTTCAAAATTTTTAAATTTTTTTTTAAAAAAAGATATACCTTTATTTGTTTTGAAATAAGTTTTCATTTTTCTTTCACTCTCATCGCATCTTGCCACCACCCACTGTTGATTGCCAATCGGCTACCTGCCAACAATCTCTCGTGAGTTCGGATCACTTTTTAGGCTCCGTTTGACAATAGTTTTTTAATTATTTTAATCACAAAAGATATAATAGGTTATTTTAGTCACAATAAATAAAATATCACATCTAACCCATAATCATTACACTCTTCTCTTACAAAAAAGTCAAAAAAGTCAAAAAGTCAAAAAATTCTTCTCAAACCAAGCTTTTTAGCTTAGGCTAAAATAGCCAAAAAAAACTAAAAAATCAAAAAGTCAACCCACTTTCCAATCGGAGGCTTAGGGTTAGTTTGAGATGTTCTAAAAAAGTATACTTTTTGAATTTTTGGCTTATATAGGTTGGGTTTGGGTTGGGTTTGATGTGATGTGTTAGAGAGGTGATGTGATTTAAATAAGATGATGTGACTTAAATAGGATAGTGACTTTTTGTATTATTTAGGCTAGGTTTGGCATAACCTATATAATCCATCTTTTTATCTTTTTTCCATCACATCACCTCTCTACTTTTCTGCACATCTTTTCGTAAAAAGACAAAAAGTGCACTTTTTTAGGACACCCCAAACCAACCCTTAGTGTACCCTAAACCAAACTTTAGTGACTCTTTAATGATAGGTCAGTCATCCGTGCTCTCCAGAAAAAATTATTAGTTAGTTCAAGAACGTCACATAGTAATACTCTTTATTAATACAAAATTATCATGTTCCTTATATTTTGCAATCATCCAATATAAAATCGTAGCCTCTTTTACCGATCACAATATCATTGAAACACTATGGATTATTTTGAAAAATTGGTTAAAAGCTAAATTTTTAAATTTTTTTGACTTTTTTTTTAAAAAATGTATGAAAAAATAAAGAAATAATCATTGTGTTTGGTTCCTATTTTCTAAACTCATTTTTTTTTTAAATTTTTTTTAGAGTTTTTGTTTGTTATTTTGAAAACCAGACAAAGTTTTTTTAAAAACTAAAATAATAGTATTTTTTGATGTGACAATTTTTTTTAAAAAATTGTTTATCTCCTTAAATTGAAGGGAACCTGAATTTGTAATAATGTATATTTTTGAAAACTAAACAAAAAAATTTTCAAATCACTTTTTGAAAAAATAATTTTAAAAAATAAAATCAAACATGATAAATGTGACTCAAAATAAATTAAAAATCAAAATTTAACTTTTAATTATATTTTCAAATTAAACTCATCTAATAGTAGACTATTTTAAAAAGATGATTATAATTAATTTTTTTTTAATTAAAAATAAATTATAATAACTTTTTATAAAAAAATAAATAAATTATAATTTAAAAAATAGATTATAACCGACATTCTCAAAAACTCCGTGTGTCAAAAACCACCAATAATTTCACGTGCTCTAATCACACCTTGTTGTTTGATTGCACTTCTTTATTTTAGAACAACAACAATGATTCATCCCACTAAAAATATCACCACTAATAGCACTAATGCATTAAAAAAATAAAAAAAATAAAAAAAAATTACAATTCCAAGACCAAAACATCACATCATTCATGACGGGACCCACTGCCACCTAATTAGTGAGAGCACTAATTAGTGCATTCAAAATTAATAGTCAAATGTGTTACAATTAAAAAGTCAGGAACCAAAGTGATATGAACCCTAAACTACATGAACTATTAGCGTAATTCACCCTAATAACAAATTGATAGCCTAATTAATTGAAACACTATTTTTCGTTAAAAGCCTACACTTTGAGGTGGGTTGCCATGTGCGTAATTGATAAATTTTCAAATAAATTAGGGAGGCTCCTTAGGCTTGGTTTGGGAAGTAGGTTGGCTTTTTGACTTTTTGGTTTTTTTGGCTATTTTAGCCTGGGCTTACAAGCTTGGTTTGGGAAGGGCTTTTTGGCTTTTTGGCTTTTTTGACTTTTTTTGTGAGAGAAGAATGTAATGATTATGGGTTGGATGTGATGTTTTATTTGTTATGGCTAAAATAGCCTATTTTGTTTTTTGTGGCTAAAATAGCCAAAAAAGCCTGAAAACTAACTTGCCAAACAGAGGCTAAATAAGTTTTATCTCAAAAACTACTCTACAAACACAAACCAAACACACCCATACTTTCTGATATCCAATCAACTTGATTTTTTACAGGTATAATATAATCAACAAATTTTAAAATGTAAACGGTCCAGATAATTGAAATTGAACCCAAAAGTGAGCTCAATAATCCTACAAGTAAGAAGTCAAAGTGGAAAGTCAAGAAGGGGATCTGGATTCTCGTTTCGAAATTGTGAGTTGGGTTTTTAATTTTTTTATTATTTTAATTTAGAATAAAAAAATCTCGTTTTGAATAAATTTTTTAATTTTTTAAATTTTTATAAGGAAAAAAATAAAATAATTATAATTTAGATGTAATATTTTATCTTATTAAATTAAAAAAATTATTATATTTTTTATAATTAAAAAAATTAAAAAATTTGGCAGGCCAAACGAAGATTTTTTTAAATCGGATTCTTCTAGTTTTGGGTCCTATTTGTTGGCGCCTTGTTTGGTGTCAAGAATATAATAGCTTCAGCCTCGATTACCACACTCTCTCAAAATAAATATATATATTCAGCTATCCAAACGCACCAATGAACATGCGTTTCACACTACCCGCCGCCGCGTAGTGCCTTCTAAAATATATAGTAATTGAGGCTTGGTTTGGGATGTAGGTTGGCTTTTTGGTTTTTTGGCTTTTTTGGCTATTTTAGCCTGGGCTTATAATTAAATGTAATATTTTATCTTATTAAATTAAAAAATTTATTATATTTTTTTTATAATTAAAAAAATTAAAAAATTTGGCATCAATCAGCGCCCTTTTTTTAAATCGGATTCTTCTAGTTTTGGGTCCTATTTATTGGCGCCTTGTTTGGTGTCAAGAATATAATAGCTTCAGCCTCGATTACCACACTCACTCAAAATAAATATATATATTCAGCTATCCAAACGCACCAATGAACATGCGTTTCACACTACCCGCCGCCGCGTAGTGCCTTCTAAAATATATAATTGAGTCTTCTTTTTCCTTATCTCCTCTGTCTCACACGTACGTTTTCTCTATTATTAATTGGCCCTGTTTGGCGAAAAATTATTGATTCCACTAGGAGTACTACGTGATTTTGTTGTTATTCAATCATAAATTATTATATTGTTTTAATCATTTAA